TTTGAACGTCTTTATTCTCCTTTCACCACTTTACATGCGCAGGCCGCGGGGGCTGCTGACGGGGTCCTCCTCGTTGGCTGTGGCGGCGGGCGCGACAGGCCGTGGTTGGCCTTGGCGGCGTCGGCGCTGGCGGGGCTGCGGGCCGGAGGGTTCCTCGTTTGCCTGCAGCTCGCGGAGGGGCCTCGTCGGGCTGCGCAGGGCTGGCGCTGCGAACCGGGCCAGGTTCGTGAAGGCGACGGTCTGCAGGATGTCGCCCTGCCGCAAGGGGGCGGCTGGCAGCGCCTGGTGTCGAGGAAGGGCTGTAAAAGATGCGGTCCTTGTTAGTTCTGTTGCTTGGGGGGGGTTCCTCCTTGCTTACCTGCGTTGCTGTTGTCTGGCGGTCTGGCCGAGTAGCGGATGTTGGCTGTTTGGGCTCCGCTTGCGGCCTCGCGGGGGCCCCTGGCTGGCTGCGAGCTGCATGCGCTGGGTCCTTCTTCTCCTTGGCTGGGTCTCATGACTTGGACTTCTCGGCGACGTCCTTGGATCATCACTGTGGCTCTGGGACGGTTCTTGCCTCCCTTTATTGCTTGGCTGGGAGCGGGGGAGGGGGGGCGGCTGTCGGCAGCTGGTCGGCTGCTGGCCCTCGGCTACGTTCGGATGCAGCTCGAGCGGCGGCCTGTACTGTGGCCTCACTTGCCTGCTGGCGGGGCTAGGCGTCGTGCCTGCCCTCTGGACCAACTCTACCTGGCTTGCTTCCTCCTGAGGTTTGTGTTCGGTTTCTCGCCCGGTGTTGCGCTTGTTGTGTTCTTTACTCTTTGGTTCGGATGTGCAAGGGCTGGCTGCGGCTGGGGCCACATGCCTGAGTTTGTCGCGGCGGGCCGTGTGGTTGCCACGGCTGGAATCCCGCGAGGGCCTACCTCGCTGTTCCATGCGGTCGCCCTTGCTCTTTATCCTGCGGACGAGGGGGCGGCAGTAGTATAACGGGCCCAGGGTTACAGATTGCCTACCCTGCCCCTGCCAGGGGCACACCACGGTGGTTACAGGTTACCGGATGTCTCGGTCACCCGATCCCTTCTTATCAGCTGCATACCGCTCAGGGGCTTCCAGAAAAAACGGCTGTGAGTGGGATTCGAACCGAAGTGGAGGAAGGAGAGCGTGAAGGAGAGCGGCGTTGGTCCCGGTGCTGGCCTAGCAGTCCGTCAGGTTGGACTCGGAGTCGGGTTGGCCGTCGAGGAGGGTGGTATTGGCCTCCTAAAGCGTATGAACAAAAAATTTAAGGATTTAGTGGAGAACTTTAAAGAAATCAAAGTTCAAGATTACAATGAAAAGGAGGGAACAGTAATCCTAAATGTGAGCTATGTAAAGCTTTGTCTCCAGCGTTCACAAATAATTCCAGTACAATAATTAGTTGTTGTTTCTTTTATCCGCAGTTCTATGATCCAGATGTGGCTGAAAAGGTATCAGCACTCACTGGTGTTACTTACGATGACTCTGAATTAGGGTTTCCCATGATAACAGATCTGTACAGTAGGGCCCCGGAGGGTGGCCGGTTGGGCACCCAGTTGAGGGCCGGTACAGACCCAGTTGAGACCCAGGGAGACCCGGTTGGGACCCAGTTGGGCCCCGGTTGGGGTCCGGTTGATATCCGGGTGGGGCCCGGTTGGGGCCCGGTAGGGTACCTAGTAAGGGCCCAGTTGGGTATCCAGTAGGGGGTCCGCAGGGGTTTGAGTTGGTACCCGGTTGGGTAAAAATTGGCCGCTGTGAGGGGCTCCGTCGGCAGCGCGCCAGG